GGAGGAGAGGCCGGGCGGGACGGCGGGGGTCGCCAGGGCCTGGGCGCTGGGGTGTCTGCGTCGCGGCCTCCCGCCGCTCCCGTCCCAAGGCCACAGCGTGTGTCAGTGCGTCCTTTACTTGTCTGTATGCTAGTCTGCCTTATAGGCAATAATGTAGTGACAGTAGTAGTGATCGTCGGGAACAAGGATGTGTTGCTGGACACAGATTTGTGCATGTAGTGGTTTGAGTAGCATTTTGTGGTTTTTAGAAGCATTGAAAAGACAAAAACATGTATTTACAGGGACAGGAAGGAATGGGCAGATATTGGACCTATCCCTCAAAATGATGGGCCAAATCCTGTTGTTCAGATCATCTACAGTGAAAAATGTAAGTCTTAAATACGTTCTGCTCTGAAAACTTAAGGTGGTTAAATTTCTGTCTGTCTTTAGTGTTGTAAAGTGCTGTAAAGCAAGACGTCACGTTTTCGTTAACATATTTTCCAGAATAGTACTGTGAAGAAATTAATTTTTATTGTGCAATGGCAGTTGTGTGTGATGTTTTCACCAAGCATCTTTGAAGTTGAATCTTCACCTAAGAGGTTAATAGCCAAGGTTTTGTTTTAAAATCATATGACTTAAGAGGTAATACGGCAGAGAGTCTAGTTCACATAATAAGGCATTTCTAGCCTACAGGTGGAAGAGATATTTGAAGCTACTGCATCTGGGGAGAGTGTGAGTAAGCAGCAAGACACTTTTCTGATTGTTTTGGATATTATTCAGATGGTGTATTTTTAAGATATTTTTACAGCTTTTTGGTATGCTAATATCGTTTAGAGGTTTCAATCAACAGGACAGCCAGAGCAATATGTAGCTATCGTTTTAAAGAGGTATATTTAAAGTACACAAAATAGGAAGTAACTTCAAAGGATTATTAACCTTACCGCTAATCAGGCCATTGCCTTGAATAAGATGCTGTTATCTATTTAGTTCGAGATGTCTATGATTACTTCCGGGCTGTTCTACAGCGGGATGAGAGAAGCGAAAGAGCTTTCAGGCTAACAGCTGATGCCATTGAGTTAAATGCTGCAAACTACACAGTATGGTAAGTTATAATCTTGGGATCATTTCTAGCGTCATTTGAGTGCTGACCTCTTGTGTCTTTAAGAATTTTGTTAGTCTAATCAGGGCATGACTAGTTCAGTTTACACAGAGGAGTAGTGTAGATTTCCAGTAACCTGCTGAAGAAAGCCTTTGTTCAGGATTTTCCATGTCTCATTTTGATTTTGTGGTTTTCATTCGTTTGGCTTTGAGGATATTATCAGTCATTGATATTATCAGTCAAGGTCAGGATTAGCCACAAAAAGACATTTTTGTTTAAAATTAGATCACTTACCTGATAATGTGGCCTTGGCAAAATGCTGAAGATGTCCTCAGTTGGCTTCAAGAAGAGGCATAAAAGTATGATAGCTGTTACCCACTAAATAATTGTATACTTACTAAGCAGTGCATTTTAGAAGATCTGTCAAGTTGATGTTCAATTAGGTAATGAATAAACAGTGAATTTCTGATATTCAGAGTAGGGCCTTTTAACTCATGAATGCGAACAAGTACATCTTGTATGTCTTATTACACTAACTTCCATAAAATCAGGAAGTTTACATTATTTTAAGCACATAAGTCATAGTTTCTGTGATGGTAGACAGAGACTAATTAATCACAGGATTGCTGCTATCTTAGATTACATATTGTTGTAACCAGTTTATTCCAGTTCTCCACTGTTTGATAATTGAGTGGCCTTTAACAGAACTGGATATGTGGTTTAGTTTTTTGCACTCTTTTTAAGTCAGTATCTATTAGAAGAACTATGAAAAAAGGTTCTTCTATGTTCTCCTCTGTGAATTTTAGGAAAGCCTTGTTGCAGTGTTCAAATGCTTGACTTCTATACAGGCATTTCCGGAGAGTCCTCCTGCAGTCTTTGGGAAAGGATCTCTATGAGGAACTTAAGTATATTACAGCTATCATTGAAGATCAGCCAAAGAACTACCAAGTCTGGTAAAATCATGTTTTCTTTTCAGTTCTTCATGTTTTTGCAGATAATTTTTGTTTTGTAAATTGTCTAGAGCAAGTTGTGATCGTTGATCCTAAAAGTTGTTAAGAGTTGCTTCCTGCATCTACTGCAGTGGCAGTGGAGGAGGAGTCAAATGGAATTGTATCAGTATTACTGCCCAAGTCCTCTTTAGCAGTTTGTTCTAAACATATGATTATGATGTGCTAAAAAGGTCTTATTTTCTTTTAATTTCAATTTTTAAGCTGTCAAAATAAGTCTGACAGATCAAAAAAAAATTACTTAGGAAAAGGCAAACAGAAAGACAAATAGAAATGAGTATTTTTTTTCTTTTATTGGCTCTTGGAATTTGTTTACCTGTCGGTGAGTTTTTTCCAAGTGAATGGGAATAGGCAAAACAGCATTGTTGTTATCGCTAGAAAAATTATGTCTTACTAGAAAATTTTATTCTCCTGAAGACTTTGGCCATGAGTGTTAAAAGTGGAAACACGTTACTTCAAGTAAACATAACTTGTCTAAAAGGAGGTGATTGGCCAATGTGTATGCGTAGTTAGAATTTGTTATAGTATAAGTATGCATAATATAGTTCTCAGAGCCAAGTGAAATGTTTTGGTATATTTAATTTGAAGTATTTAATTAGTGTTTTTTTTCTAAGTAATACGGTTGCTATATTTAATAGAGGCCACACGTTCACAAAAAATTCTTAGACTATGCTAAAAGTAGTTTGCTCCTCTTGTCATTAGGCATCACAGACGGGTGTTGGTGGAGTGGCTGCAGGATCCATCCCAAGAGCTTGAGTTCATAGCTGGTATTCTTAACCAAGATGCCAAAAATTACCATGCTTGGCAACACAGACAATGGGTAATTCAGGTATTGTATCCACAGAACTTTTGATTCACTAAATAAACTCCTCCGGTTGTAGAGTTTTGCTTCTTAAGTACAATCTGAATTGCATTTGGCACTTTGTTTCTTAAGGTTGAAAGGGGAAAAACAATTGCATTTTAATGTGTGGTAGAGGTTAGCTATAAACTTGCCTTTTAGGAAACAAGTTCAAAAAGATCTGTTATTGGCTGCTTATTGTTATGTGTGTGAATTTAATGATGAGCTAATACCATTGTGTGCAACTGAATAGTGTAACGTGTTCCTAGTTCACCCTTCCTTATTTTTCTTTGAACTTTGTGTTGATTTCTTTAAAAAAGTCTCTGTAATGTTCACAGAACTTAGGATAAAGGAGAATATATTTTAAAAAATAAAAACTTTTGATTGTGATACTATCTCTTCCTTCCCTTTCCATAGGAGTTCAAATTATGGGACAATGAACTGGAATACGTAGACCAGCTTTTGAGGGAAGATGTGAGAAACAACTCTGTTTGGAACCAGCGACACTTTGTAATTTTCAACACCACCGGCTACGATGATCCAGCAGTCCTAGACAGAGAAGTCCAGTTAGTAATGCTGTTCATGCTCATATTAAGCATTCTCCATTACACGAAAGCAAAGGAATACTTTGACAGTTCCTCTGGGCTTGTCTTTCCTGTTTTTAATGCAGTTTTTGGCTCACTCATGGATAGCAGATCAAGTGTTAGTGCACATACAGTGCGTATAGAGATGTGTTCAGTACCACTGACTTACTTTGTAGTACTGAAGCAAGCTATGCTTACCCTGGACAAGCTATTCTCATGAATTTGTCTTCCTGCCCTGCTGTTTATTGTGCAAACAAAACTTTTGGCTTTTTATAGTAAACTAACTATAGCGGAACAACCTGCAGAAAAGCTGTGGCACTGGAACCACGGAAGTTGTGCTGTTCGTTAGTATCTTGCATCCTACCCCTATAAAGCTTGGAAGGAGAGTCACTCTCAATGTTGTACTAAACTGCTGTTTTAATAGTACAGTAGCCACAGTGATTTAAAGATAACGTGGACGTAGATTGTAGGAAGAGGAATTGCCTTTTGTGAAGAATTCGATGCAGCTGGAAAAAAAAAGAAAGGAGCTTTCAGGGGTATGTGGTCAACACAAAGACAACTACCTGTGTGAGTTGGCTAGTTTTGAGGAAAATGAGCTTTGAAAACTGTTTCGAAGTGGTCTTTGTAACTGAAGACAAACTGGGCTTCTAGCCTGTTTACTACTGACGGTGGTAAGGGAAGCTTCCTTGTATGGTTTTCACATCTCAGACTGTTGATCAGGGGTCATGGTTATGAGCAGATGTTTGTCTAAAGTGAAGAAGCAATGAAAAGAAGGTATTGCAATTTTTTTCAGTTATTCAGAAGAAAGACTGAGTCTCTGAGTAGGTCCATTGGTACATTGTTCATAGAGGATCCCAGCCCCACCACCTTTCATGACTGTCTTTGCAAACTGCTGTAAGTTGTACTTCTCTTCCAGTTTATAACTTTCCTGCAGATTAATAATTTTGAACCACTTAGGCTTGGATGTTTCCAGCTTTTTCTCTCCAGAGATTAGATCTGACATCCTCCCTTGATCTGTTTATACATGGTGCTATATTCGAGATACTTGGATACTGTCTTAAGAATCAGACTGTCTAAGGTGAAGACTTCTCAGATCTCATTATAGAACTGTAGTTGGGCTGTTTGTTGCTTGACAAACTGAGTCTTTGTCATAGTGACTGCAGAAGGTTAAAAAAGGTTTAGAGTTGTGGGTTGGTTTTGTTTTTCAGTACTGCTTATAGAACTTTTTAGCAGTGTCAGCTGTCTCTAAAAATCAGCTGAGTGCCTCCTTAGGCTGGGGAAGGGCAGAAGGTAAAGTCTGTTTTGTGAAGATGAAATATGGCTTTGTGACTGTATGGCAGGTGCCTCTTGTTGCTTTGCTTTTAGAGGAGTTGCCTGACTGCTACTTTAAAAGAACTGCTGCAGAAGGCTGTATGAGCTGGAAGCTCAAGCTCTGTCTTTCTTTGGGTTTGCGCAAGTGTAGGCTCATGAAAAATACTCTGCAAATAGGTACAGAACATACCGCTTGCAGTCATGTGAACATAGCTCACCCTGGGCTTCAGTTACTCCGGCCCTTTTCAGCCCCCTGCCATTTCTGAGCATCAAGACACAAGTTATTCCTTTAGCATATCGGGAGAGTCTATCATGTTGTTTCTTAGTGTTATTGCTCATAATTGTCAGAACTGTTTCATTATTGTATAAAATGCAGCATACGGAACATTTCAGAATTTAAAACAGTTCTCACAATGTCTGCCTCCCTGAGACTTGTGGTGATTTATATTGCAAGACATTTTTGATCTATGACCCAGCTGAGATGATCTGCAAAAAGACTGAAATGTAGGCTAAAGGGATGTACTTGGGAGTGTCTGAGCACGTTCAGGTAATTTCTAATTGCATTTTCAGTAGTTGCATTCATGACCTGTTATCTTTTTCTCACAGATACACTCTTGAGATGATCACAGCAGTGCCACACAACGAGAGCGCTTGGAACTATTTAAAAGGGTGAGGCGTCCTTCTCTGTGGGGCAAAGAGAGTATCTGTAGAAGGTTATCTTATGCCCAGTTCTTAACTGGAAAGAGCTTGTTGCTGTTCATTCTAGTGTTGTGTGCTTAAGCAGGCAGACAGAAACCTCCACAAGGGCTTAATATATTAACCTAATTTCTCTGTAACTTTCCACTAAGTTTCTGGCCCTGTAGTTCTTGTGGGAGAATTGCAAGTACTTCTCATGCTTTTAAAAACTTGACCTATAATGTTATTGGATTCAAGAGCATATAGTAGGAAGTAATGAGCATGCTTTCAGTCTAATTTCTGTTCAGTTGAGCATAACTGTACTAGCTTTATATTAAGCTGTATTACTGCTGCATGCTGCTTACTTTCTGCCTTACTTGTATTTGCACCCATATTTCACAACTGATCTCCACATAAAGGAGTCATAACAAAAATGTAATTCTTCACACCATATTTCCTAGCATTATGTTTCAAGCCTATTAACCTCTGTTCTAGGATTCTGCAGGATCGTGGTCTTTCTACGTATCCAGATCTGTTAGAGCAACTGTTGAATTTACTGCCCAGCCACAGTTCGCCCTATCTGATTGCCTTTCTTGTGGACATATATGAAGATATGCTTGAAAACCAGTGCGATAACAAGGAAGAAACACTAAACAAAGCATTGGAGGTATGTTTTGAGAGCTTAGGTTTGCTTCTCAGGGATGCCATCTATTGCTTTTTTGATTTATATGCTGACAAAATGGGATTGATTTTTGTAAATAGAACGGGTTACTTGTTAATCACAGGAACTCTGTGAAGAGTTGAACATGAAAGCCAGATAATCACAAGGATCTCATGAATTTATCTATAAATAATCACTGTAAGTTTTCTTCACATAGTAGTGAAGGAAGGTTTCTAATATTGCTTGCAGAAGAAGGGAGATATTTGAACAATCGAAGAGTTCCCAATGCTAACTTTGTAGCATGAATGCACTTTCTTTTCCGTAGGTTAGTGAATCTTGTTCTCAGAGTATCTGTATCTAAACAGAATCTCAAGCTTCTTTTGCACTTCTTAGCTGTTTCTAAGAAACCTGGCATAATTAACTCAAAGGCCAGCAGGCACTGAGGACATCAGTAAGTAATGTCAGGCACCATTTGCTACAGAGAATAAATGACTTCTACCAGTATTGTCTATCTCAGTGTGCTTCATATTAGGGGAACTCCTTGCTGTGGTTTGAGTGTAGTTTTTACAAGAACACTTTTCATTCACTGTGGGACAGCCTGGAACTCGGTGTAATTAGAGCTGCAGTTCTTGCCTGGAGTCTCTGTGTTCCACCATCCTTCTTTCTCAACATTTTCCCTTTGTGTTCCAAGACCAGAGTGTATATAAGTGCAGGTGTACCTCCCAGATTCATGTCCCTTTATACTATTTCACTGAGTTTGACTTCTTCATCTATTTAGGCATTGAAGCGCTTATTTCTCAACTCTGGTTCACTGAGTAAGGCAATGTCATCTGCGTAATAAAAAGGAATTGACTAAAACATTTGTAGTCAGTGTTTATACCATATAAATTTTACACAGCGTGTTCTGTGAGTAGGGTTGACTTCTGCTGTGCCTCACTGCTCACCCAGATCAAAATAAAACAAAAATCAGAACACATAGAAGTATCTGTATAGTGCTAGCTCTAACATGCTGTGAGAGATGGTTACTGACTTGCATGGAGAATCCTTTTGGGACAGTCTGCTAAGAGAAAAACCATGAACAAAATATCTCCTGTCAGTCCATCAGGAGTACTGAAGATTCAAGAGCAGGATGTTCCCCCACTGTTTTCGGTGAAGTCATTTACAGCCTACTGAATCGTTAAAAGACATTCAAGCTTGTCAGGAAGTCACAAGTATACTGTAGTATACTACAGGTTGAATAGGCTGGGCGTGATGACAAGTGACTGTTTTCAATGAAGTAATTTACAGCCTACTGAATCGTTAAAAGACTTGTCAGGAAGTCACAAGTATACTGTAGTATACTACAGGTTGAATAGGCTGGGCGTGATGACAAGTGGTAGGCACAGAAAGGAGTCATGGGGGAGCAGTTGCAACTGAAATAGGACTGGAGAGATTTCTGCGCAGTGTCAGACTGGTTGACTACCAGTTGGAATTGACATCAGTTTGAGGTCATTGGACAGCTGCAAATCTGGTGAATAAAACAAATGTTGCTGCTAAGAAAGGTGTTTCTAATACTGGCTGAACCATATCATATGCATTTTGGATAATTACAGATTCCATAAGCTTTTGGTATAACACTCCAATCTCTCTTTTTTTTTCTTGTAGTTGTGTGAAATTCTGGCTAAAGAAAAAGACACCATCCGAAAGGAATACTGGAGATATATTGGAACATCCCTTAAGAACAAGCACAGCTCAGGCACTGAACAGAGCATGGTAACAGACAAGCAGCAGTAACTGAACGTGGAAGAAGACAGTGTTAATCTCTCAAGCTGTTCTAAAGCAGTACTAAGTAGGGTCATCAAGTAGTTTAATATCCAGTGTGGTATTCCTCTGGTGAAGAGGTATTACAATGAAAGAAGAGTGCAGAGTCAGTCGCTGCTGCTACCGGTGATAGCTCTAGGTGCAGTCAAGAAATGTCTTAAGGCTTACCTATTGAAATGACCCAAATAAACAGTTAACTATTTCCTAGTAATAAATACATAAAGCTATACCTACTGTTTATAAGGCACTAAACTTAATTTCTCATGCCCTGGCTTACCCACTCATGGTTCCTAACACAGTCGCATCAGATGCTTCAGTAATGACTGCAGGTAACTTCACTATGGTGGATATAAAGTAACCTACTTCTGGTTAGTGCAAGCAGGCGCTGCAGTTTTTGCTGTACGAGGGAGCAGGTGTGCAACACTGACAGCACATGCTATTGTATGCAACTAATGCCAAGTGTCATTTTGTAATAAAAATGGATAACTTAAAGGATTTGCCCGAATTTTTTTACTGTGTTTCTTTTGGTCTTTAGATGTGCATAGTCTGTTCTTCTCAGATGCTAATAGAGGTAAAAATAAAATAGCCCCTTTTATGGATATTGGATTCTATTGCACTGATTTTGCACTGGAATGTTCTCATCCCAGAAAATTTCAGTACACTTGATGTATTCAGCGGAGCCTTGAATTCTTGCCTGCACACTCAGGAAAAATGCCTCGAGGACCCTAGAAGATCTGCTTAGTTTTTTTCTTGGAATTCTGTTCAGACAGAAGAAAATCTGTAATTTTGGGTTTTTTTCTTCACACTTCGTAACCAGACCAAACTGAACTCATAGGTCAGAAGAGATTATAACTAACTGGTTATGTTACATATCTTCACTGAACTGGAAGGGAAGGAATGGTTTTATTGGGGACCTATTCGGGTTAAATGTCTTAAGCTTGTTGCTCCTAGGGGCTTTTTTTTATCTTTTTCGATGCGTATATTCAGCCAAGAAGTATTTTTTCTCCCCTTTGTGGAAGACAGAAGGCACCTGCAGTACTGAACTGCAAAGGATGTGTATACCATACAAGAAAACTGCTGCACCTGCCCTGTTTTCAGTAAACAGCTATTGTAAGCTGTATTCTTAGCATAGAGTGCTTGTCTGGTATGAATTATTTTCTTGGAGATGACCATAAAGGGAACAAATAAATACTAGTATTTATTCTGTAATATGAATAGTCTTTCTAATACCAAACATTAAAAGCTGCTGCTGTAATTAAACTATAGTGGAGATTATTTTAAACGCTTGAAATATGTTAATTCAATGCATTCTTTAAAACAGCTCATGGGGAGTGGAATTAATATATGAAAGCTATGTAATTTTTTTAATGCTTTTCCCGCTTTCCCAGTAGTAGAGAAAACACTTTTATTGTGACCCATGATCATTTGGAATGGACATGAACTTCAAACTTTTGGAGATTGGTTACTTGCGCACTTTTTTTCCCTTTTTTTTCTCTTTTTTTCTTTTTGCCACAGTTGAAACTCCAGCATAGAACAAAAAGTGTATGTTTCTACCCCCATGAATTGTTCCTAGTTGAAACTACGCTAAATGTGGCGTACTGATCGGACAGGATCTTCAAGGTCTTCAGGACAAAGTAATATATTTGCCACTACCAGTCAAGAAAGCTCAGCGATGTACAACAGATAGATGCAATCCTTAAAATAAACATCAGTGAAGAGGGAACAGAATTTTGCATCTGCATATGGTATTACTTAGTTCCCATATCTTTCACAAACAAAATTGAGAGGACACTTGGACTGAGGCAGAATATTCTTTATAAACACTGGCATGAATTAAAGAAAAAATAACTCATCCCACGGTGAGATGATGAACAGTGTCTGCTGGGACAGTGTATTTTGGAATGTGTCTTCTTAGTCATTTGTGGTCTGAGGAAGCATCTTAGATTTAGCCCCGTTGTGCTTCTGAGTCAAGAACGGTGGGATCCTCTGACAAGGCTCTTAGAGTATTTTCTTACGGTGTGGTAAGCTTATGGCGTCATTCTTGAAAATTATGTCTAGAAGTAATGAGTCATCTACTAACAGGGTTAATAGGGTTTTATACTGGTTATACAGGCATAGTGATACTTGCAAAGATAGTGCCACTTCTGACCTAAGTTTACCAATGAAGGAATAACCAGGTATGTACTCCAACAGAAAAATATCCCGTCTCATGTAAAACAAATGTGTGACCAAACAAATAATGCAAATCTTAAGAAAAAACTGCTGGAGAATAGAGTCAAATTTAAAAAAAAAAAAAAAAAAGGCATTATGTTTTAACAGAAATGTTCATTTTTCCTTTCAAATGTTTATGTTTACTGTCATTCAGATTGCAAGGAAGCTCTACAATTCTCTTCAAAAGGCACCTCAGTTCTGTGGTAGTCAGCCATACTCAGAAATACTGAGCTGTCAGAGCTGAGAAAACAACAGGCTGCCCATCCAGGTTGCAACTGCAGCTACCAAGCCTTTAATTTTAAAAATGTATCTGAGACAACCTTTCTCATGGAAGTGGGAGCTTGACAAAATATATGAGCTAAAGAGAGAAGGATCTTACAGTAGGAAGTGTTAGATGACTTTAACCTGCAGGCATTGGACTACCTATGATCAGGGAAACAGCAAATTGATTTGTCCTAAGGGTTCATCTGTACAAGAAAACTTACTGTCGTTACTGATTGTGTGTAGTGATGTGACTCTTGTGTACAATTTTATTACTGAAGATCTGTGCCTAAATGGAAAACTGTATTGGTAAAACTGGCACTTGTAAATCAGTGTAATTGGAATGTTCTGTGGAGTATGGAGAATTACTAAAGCATGTGAAGTAATTTCCTATGCCTGCTTTCATCAGAGGCTAATGTTCTTGCCTTGGTCTAGCTGTGTCTGTCTGTCTAAGCTGTTACTGACTTCCAACTTACTGTCTCTTCAACTCGGCTGACAAAACAGAACACAAGTCCTTCCTAATCTATTTAGTACAAAACCACCTCAGCTAGCACACAATGCTTCTATCCATTGCTGTCTGGCTGTGCTGAGGCAGATTAGGAGCGTGCTGTTCAGCTGCACGTCTCTGGGAGCAGTATCCTCCAGCATGGAAGCAATGAGGTTTCTAATCACCCCCACCATGCGAAACACTTCTGTCCAACTGCTAGCAGGCAATTCATGCAGTGCAGCGGTGACAAGGGTCTTATGGAGAGATGCGCCCCTGCAAGATGACAAAATGACTTAAAACTCCTCTGGCTTTTAGAACAAAGGGGTAAGGGAACAACATTAAGTGTTGTTGTGGAGTCATCCCTTACAGGCTCACAGAAAGGCTTTGCAAATGCTGGTGGACTTGCCTATGCGCAAGTTCAAAATAGCCAGGGGAGACACTGCAGCTATGGTTTCCTTGCCCTGTGCGTGCAAATGGAGAGAGAATATCTTTATTAACACCTTGAGCCACATGTCTCAGATGTTGTCCCAGATATGGCATGGTGGATGCAATAATATGATAAATGAGCCTAGCTCATGCCCTTTTCTGAACATCAGTGCCTTCGACGCGTTACTGACATTGTGGGGTAAGGTGTGTGCTTTGCACTTTCTATTCCAAGTCTGGTTTTAGTTGGTGATTACTTCTGTGGCCTCTGGGTTGGTGGCACGTTTCCCTACTGTATCTTCTGCTTAAGGCAGATTGATTTGGAAAACTTGAGTAAGATGATGTTTGGCTGAGTTTTGGCAAGCCTGTTAGTGTGGCAGTATGGCATTTTACACAGGTGTCAAATATCCTTTAATATTTAGTTTTTCTTGTAAATAACCATGTCTATTAAATATCTCAAGTTGAAAACATTTTCTCTCCCTTTAAGGCTGTACTGTCAGGCTTTTGGTACAAAATACTCTAACAGCAAAGGGTAAAAAAATTACATTTGAATGTGAAAACTACATTATTTTTGCCCTACAGCAGGTCCTTTACAGAATCCCTGGCAGTCTGGACTGATCTGTATCATTCTGGTCATGAATAACATTGCTGTTTTGAAGTACTCTATGTACATTTACATGAGTACACTCTGTATGACTGCCTACTCAATACAGGTGAACTGTGGATGAAATCTGAAGCAGAGAATAGAAGTCTTTAAAGTAGACAGTCATTTGTTTTTCTCCACAATATGTTATCTGATGCTGAAGTGTTCAAACAGGGATGATCTGTACCTAGCAGAAGTCACAGTGTAAGTGTGACACGGTCATTTACTCTATCCAGCCCTTCTCTGCTCTTAGCATCCTTTATCTTAATGCATCACTTGGCTTAAGAACATACACCCTTCAGACACAAGACTTTTAGAAAATTACGAGCCTATTTCAGGATCAGAAGTGATGCTGTTGATATTGCTGAGAGAGGAACGTGTTTACAAGTTCTAGGCCTCCCTGTGCCTGCTCTGAAAAGAATACCTTACCTTCTGCTGCTAGAGTGGGTCCTGAATTTGCAGAAAAGGAAAAAAAAGAAGAAAAACCAAAAACATTATAGTATTTAAAGAGGCACACAAGTGACTGCATGTGAACATTCAGGACAAGACTGCGAAAATCAAGGGTCCATGCACTTATTTAGGTTTCCGCAAGTACTTGGCATAAGAAGCTAACAGAAACTTCACCAAATTTAGCTAGGAACCCCACCTCAGGATGTCTCAATGTCTACATCAGCTGTTCTATGTAAGCTGTTTGGGGCTAGGACTCTATGATCCTATGTGTGTCACCCATCACTGTTCCTCAAGAAGCCATGGTATATAAGCCTACCTAAGATTTCAGCCTTGGCAAATTAAAATCTTTGATGTATTATTTTTCCGCTGCTAGGCAGCAGGGAAAGTGGATGTTAATTGCTAGATGGCAGTGTGAAATTCACCCCGAGTTCACTGGTGTCAGCTATGTGCGGGCAAGCAGAGGTGTAACTAGGACTCTTTCTCCATGCGACACCACTAATTTCACACCTGCTAATTAAACATGGAAGAGCAGCTGCTTGGTAAGTCAATACATAGCATCACCGAGGGCTCAAGCACAAGTATTCTGAGAGGGGCTAAATGGTCATCTTCACTAAAAATTGTTGGTGTTAATTGGAGAGCAATTTTTCATTAACTGAAATGATGTCTCCACTGGCACTGGACACCTTGTACCAGACCTGGACTCTGTT